CTTTTAAAGAAATCCCCCATGTCTGAGGGTAGACTTTAAGCCAGTACTTTTCAACTGCTGTTACAGGGATTCACAGACAAAAGGTACTTAAGAAAGGAACCCTCTTTCCAGTGTGTTGTACAGGCATCCATAGGAAGAGGGTTGGGAAGCCACCAGTTCAGGCTGGCAGGTTTACTTCACACAAAACAGAAGGAAATGGAGTTTCTGTCCAAGAAGGCCTTGTTTTGCTTCTCAGAAATCTAAGTGGTCTTTGTTCATTTTTAACAAATGTATATTTTTATATGTTAATATAGGAAAGGTTCTGTTTCAAACACCATGTAACGTCAAAAGTTCTCGCACAGAGAATGTGTGTTTAGAAGCAGCTTTTAAGCCTGTATTTTGTATCAGCGATTGGAAACCCTGTATTATTCTACTATACAGGTTGTCCCTTTCTCTTCTTTACATTTTCTTGTTTTATATTTGCAATTGCTTGAAAATATCAGGGTTATCAGAATAAGAAGCTGTTATCCTTTTACCTGGCCACCTATAAAAGCCAACAAGAACACCGATGAATGTTAACAGGAAACATTTGGGAAAGGCAGTTGGATGAGTAAAAAATAAGATCCTAAAATTCAAACCTAAATTTGAGATAACTACACCAGTTATAATATTTAACCAAAAAGATGGATTTTTTACATACCAGATTATGATTTTAGGGTGTCTCTGGCATCTCTTAAGCATTGATCCATGGGGGGGGGGGAATAGAAGCTTTTAGAAGCTACTACTCACTATTGATAGTTGAATGCCACTATTTTAAGAGTACCTGATGGGGGTACTCTACACTGCAGAAGCAAATCCTCTGATCGTGTTGGCAAAGTAATTCTATGTACTGAGCCCCCATTTTTCTATTTGGATATGAGTTACTTGCAAACTAATGGAATATCCTTTGAAGGTCTTGATTCTCCACTGCACTGTGCTGGTTTATGGATGATGTACCTGAGTGGAAAAGCTACCCCAGTGGTATAGCAGGAGACGAGCTGGATCTGAACTTCCAGGATAATAGCCCTCAAGATTCCCAAAGCTGGAACTGAGTGACTTCATGCACCAAAGATGGACAGTGATAACCATCACCCAAATCAGCATTAATGAAGATGTTCCTTTACACATGTATTTATTCACCTGGACTTAAAAAGTAACTCCTTAAGTGTTGCTGGATACTTAACTGTTACCAAAACCAGTTATATGTGATTTACTGCAAGGATATTTAAGTGTTTAAAAGAATAGTACCCTCAGAAAACCCAAGCAACAACAGCACTTCCTTTCTTGTGCTTACTTCAGATTTAAGAAGCTGTATTAAAGTTAAAACATGTAGAATGGCACATCCACTCCTACAATTCGTTCCTCAAAGACTTATCCTTGTTCCTTAAAACAGGGCAGGGGATGCTTCCACTCACTATGATCCCAAAACGTTAGTGATGATTCCCTCTTTAATTATTTAAGCACTGTGCTGGGGCATTGTGATTACGTATGGCTCTGCATTCTGTAGCTTTTGTTATATTACTGGCTCATTTCTTTTCCTGATTCACAGGAATTGCAGCAATATCTGTAACAAAACATTCCAGTTTGTGCATACAACTCCAGTACAATAAAAGTGCATCAATTTACTGATGGTGTTGGGGAAAGATTTCCAGAACTGTTTATTTAAAGGGTATCCATGGTAGGATGGACATCAATGTGTGTCCTACTTCATCTTGTTAGAAAGTGCTGTTAGGTCTCATGGTGAAAAAGAATATACAAGAGCTGGCTACTCTTTGCCTAATAGTAGTCTTGAACTGTGTCAGCATTAGGGGTTAATTACAGCACTGGAAATACACCTTTGCTCTTGTGTAGCGTTTCAGCCACAACTCTGCCCAGTTTCAGTCCCCAGCAAAAGCCCAGTGTGCTTTCAGGTCTGTTATCACAAAAATGGGGATACACTTTTTATGTCCCATATATGCTGAATTTTCTCATTAAATCTAAATTTGTGGCAACTTACAGAGATTTTAGATACATTTTCACTGTACAACCACACACAAAGTTACCCCTAAACTTGGTTCCAAACAATTTCTAAGGCCATTTGTAAGAAAAAGAACTTGTCCAGCAGTTGGTCAAGATACACCCTCCCTGTGATGCTGAAAGGGGTCACACCACTGGGTGGTACATACACTGATGTAGCTATAAATTCTCTTGGAATCTTCCAAATAAAAGTTCTATGTTAATTTAAGTCACATGGGAATCAATCTCTGTGAATATATGAATCTATAACCTGAATATGCAACACTTTACTTCCTTTTTGTGTCTAGCTTTGGTAATAAGCCTGCTTCAGGCCCACTGTGATGGAACTGACAAAACTGATGTGTCATCTGACTTAATCATAAATGTCTGTCAGCAGATTTGCACTTCTTCACACAAGAAATCTCATGGAGAAGGGAAATCAAACCCTTCTGTAATGACCAGATGCTTTGTAGGATCACTAGTATGATTTCTGTCTTTCCTTCTTCAACCATTTATCTGCTCCATGCTACTCACAGATGAGCAAACAACAAAGCTCTAATGGGACTGGTCTAACCTGTTCCAGTTTGGAAACTGTGCTGGACATTCAGGTGTGTATTTATATATATAGACACAGAGAGAGAGCCCTTGGAGTTATTTTATACACATACACCTCTGTATTTGCTTTTATCCATTGGTTATGTTTAACAGCTTTGTGCATAAACCGATTACCAAAGTTTGAGCATCACAGACCTTTTCAGATCAAAACTCTCATGCTCTCACTACACAAAAAAGGAATTGTTAATGATTTCTTTGCTTTTGCATCACTCCATCTTTATTCCCACTTCCATGCTCTCAAATCTTTTTTTTTCTATGATACATAAAGACCAGACCCTTCCTAGACAAGGCTGCTCTCTAGAAACTAAAACCTGAAGAAAGTCCTTCAAAAAGGTAACTAAGGTGCAGTTCAGTCTCACAGAAGAATGCAGTGTCTGGCAATTGTTAAGTTACTTTAATACACTCAGTAAAACAGTCTTCAGCACAAACACACGAATAACTGTGTCATGCTGCAGCTCTTTAGCAGCTGACAGGAAAACTTATGGCCTCCAGAGAAGCTCCAAGTCTGAACAGTTCAGGCAACGGCAAGAAGCCATTGTTGCCCCTTACAAGCAGGAAAAACTCCAACAAACAAACATTTTGAACACCACTTGCCCTTAAAAGCTAAGGCAACAATATTATTGCAGCATCCCCCATCAATATTGTATCACTATTGCATATCACCGTTTCCTGAAGTTTGTCATGTTTAACTCCAATTTGTAACCCTTCCTTCAGGCGTGCACGTGGATGCAGGCTTTACTCAAGCTAAGGAGCAGATGATGTTGAAGAAACCCAGCTGTTACAGCTCCCCCACCCCATCTATTCCTGTGTGTCTGCTCTGTGTAACACAAATGCTCTTATGAGGTGGTTTTCCACTCAGTTCAGCCACGCTACGGAGTGGCAGAGGGGATGCAAGCAGGCAGCAGGAGAGCAAGCCCTGTATCTTGACTTACTACCATATAATTATCACAAGATTAGAAACACGCTGTCTTTCCCAATAAATAAGGCTTTTCTACAAGAGCTGAGCACTGACTACACTCCCTTTGATCACCATCTGCAGTACAACCCTGATTATTCCAACTTTACACGCTCTCAGTATTCCTACATTGATTTGCCTGCTCCTCCAGCTTTTCATTTAAGCAGCTTTCCTTTAACTGTTGCTCTCCCTTGCCTCAAACCAAGGTCTTGCCTGCATCCTTCTGGCCCTTTGCAGTTTAGGTCTCTTCTCTGCAGGTATTCTAGCATTTTCCTCAAATCGTGCATGTCCTTGAGCTGGAAAGGAATTTGCTCCCAGCTCTATCTACTTTGGCACCAGCTGAACCAGGAAAAGATAACACAATTACATCTTTAAACAAGAAAATAACAGCAGAAAAACTCAAAAATATTGGTTAGACCCAGTGCAGCCATTTAGCAAATTTTAACCTATCTCATTTATATTACCCCATCTAGAAACGGTTCTTCTGCCCAGGGCACAAGACAACCAAGGGATTACAAACTATTTACAAACAGTTCACTATTGACTAAAACAGCCGATTTTGAAACTAAGCATTAAAATGCAATGAAGCATGGCCTGGAACATAACATCATAAACCAAACATATCCCCCACAACCTTCTCCACCACCACTGGGATTATTTCCCGGAATCATGGCTTCCTTTACCTCTACATACTTCTCTCAGTAAATATTTCAGAAATTAGGGGGTTTTAAGGCTTAAGAATTGCTGTACACTTCCACAACACTGCTGTTAGCCGCATACGTCACCATCACCCATCACCAACTGCAAAGCAGACAGCAAAATTGCCCCGCGTTTTTTCTTCCTCTAGAATCATGGAATCCCAGACTGGTTTGGGTTGAAAGGACCTTAAAGCTCCTCCAGCTCCAAGCCCTGCCACGGGCAGGGACCCCTTCCACTAGAGCAGCTTGCTCCAAGCCCCTGTGTCCAACCTGGCCTTGAGCACTGCCAGGGATGGGGCAGCCACAGCTTCTCTGGGCACCCTGTGCCAGCGCCTCAGCACCCTCACAGGGAAGAGCTTCTGCCTAAGAGCTCATCTCAGTCTCCCCTCTGGCAGGTTCAAGCCATTCCCCTTGGCCTGTCCCTCCATCCCTTGTCCCAAGCCCCTCTCCAGCTTTCCTGCAGCCCCTTTAGGCACTGGAGCTGCTCTCAGGTCTCCCCTTCAGGAGCCTTCTCTTCTCCAGGCTGCCCCAGCCCAGCTCTCTCAGCCTGGCTCCAGAGCAGAGCTGCTCCAGCCCTCGCAGCAGCTCCATGTTCCCCTCTGCCCTCGCTCCAACAGCTCACTACAGAGGCACCACAACGGCACACGCAGCACCTCCCGGAACACCAACACTTCGGCGTTTTTAAGTCACACCGGAACGAGCGCGACCGCAGCTCTTACCCTCCACCAGCGAGCCCTCTCCTCAGCGCACCGGCACTCAGCACCCGCAGGGCAGCGGGGAGGTTTTAACCGAGCCGTTAAGGACCCCGGAGCCCCTACGACCGCCGACGTGAGGCTCAAGGCTGCGGTTTCCACACGGAGCCGGCGGCTCCTCACCCGCTCCCCTCAGCCGCCGCCTCCCGCCACTGCCGCGGGTGCCCCGGATGTTGATGCGCGGGAGCCCGCCCTGACGGAAGCAGACGTGGCGGCGGCGCTGCCCGGCGCTCCCCTCGCTCCCTTCCCTCCCTCCTTCCTTCCCCGCCGGCCGGCATGAGGGACCGCCGGCACCGGCCGCCCGCCCCGGCGCTGCTCTGCGGGCTGCTGCCGGCCCTGGCGGCCGCCGTGGTGGCGGAGGGCGGCCGCGCTCTCCCTCAGCTCAGCGACGACATCCCCTTCAGGGTGAACTGGCCCGGCACCGAGTTCAGCCTGGTGGGTACCGCGGCGGGGGCCGGGGGGTGGCCGCTCACTGCTCCCTCAGCGGCTTTCTCCCGTGGGGAGCCGGGCGGCTGTAGCTGTTAACGGGGGGCGGTGGCTCCAGCGGCGGAGCCCTCGCGCTTGGCCGTTGGGTTTGAAGCCGTTCCGCTACAGAAACGTTTCAGGTTGGGGTGAGCCCCACGTAGCCTTTGCTGGGGGGGTCCCTTAAGCATCTCCCTGCGTTTTGGCTGTGGTACACGGGTCCCAGGACAGAGGGTGAGCTCTGGGACTCGGGCCACGGCCTGAGCCTGTCAGCTGGGCAAATCCCAGGGGAACCTGCCCTGAAGATCAACATGGGAAAGGCTGCTGGAAAAGTGCGGTGGTTCTGGGGGTGTTGCTTTAGGAAACGGCCTTTATAACAGCAGGGATGTGGCAGGAGGCAGAGGGTGGAAGCAAAGGAGAAGGCAAGAAAAGCCTTCAGTCTTGTGGAGACCCAGGAAATACCCCGGACCGCTATGAATTAAGCGTACTGCTCGTCAGTTCTGGGCTGTTTCTAACAAGGAGCAGTAAAAGAGCCACCTGACTAATCCACAGGTCGGTTGTTTTCTCAGCCTACGACTGGTGTCCTGTACAAAGAGGATAACTACATTATAATGACCACTGTGGACAAAGAGAAGTATAAATGCCTGCTTCCGCTGATAGCAAGTGGCAATGAGGTAAGTTCAGTCAAGCCTTTATTGCAGTTATAAACTGCAGACAAGTCTTGACAGCATCTTTTCAGTTCCCCCCCTTCCCCCTGCCCCAGATCAGAAGAGCAGCATCTACAGCATCCCTCAGAGCTTCACAGTTTGTGGTAGATCATAGAATCATAGAATAGTCAGGGTTGGAAAGGACCTTAAGATCATCAAGTTCCAACCCCCCTGCCATGGGCAGGGACCCCCTTCACTTTGTATTACATACTAGCTCTGTAATAAGTGGGGCCAGTCTGAATGCTTTGAAGTCCTTATTTGGCAACACGTGATTGCTATGTTCTGTGTATTGCTAGGATTGGGAAATGCTTGGTTTTTAAGTGCCGTTGTCAAATTCTAGGTCAGTAAATGGCTATAGAGGTTGTTAACATTGCTATCGTGATCACCCTATCTGTAAGTACTATCCCAGTAGTGGTTCTGCCATTAGGGTCGTTGCTTCCTCAATTGGACGTCTGGATGCGCAATTTGAGGTTTAAATTTAAAAAGAAATAAATGCCTTTGTTTGTACAGAAAATGTAGCTTGAGGAGGCCTTTGCTGGGGTTTATCATTGGTCGTTTATTCCTCCTGAGGTTCAGGTGTGAGAACTTGAACAGTTGAGCTGCACTCCTGTGATAGGACCTCCCACTTTGACACAGCCCTCATCCTTTATGTGACTGACAGCACAGAGGGCTTCAGGCTAGGTGACAAGTCTTTAATACTCAAGAACTTGGAATGGAAGTCTCTTCAATAACGTGCGTGTTTCTAGAGCAAAAATGATGCAGAAATAAACTTTCACTGTATTAGTCATGCTTTTTTGATCCTTTTTTTAATTACATAAAAGCTGTGCGACGTCCCAGTTATGCTGCATCAGCATTGACTAACAAATGAGAAGCTTGTTGGTGCTGTTTGCCTGTGCACACCCCACCCTGCCACTGTGGACACAAGCAAGTGGAGAGTTCCTGCTCTTTCACCACTTCTAGGCCACAAAACTTTTCTGGTTTGACTACTTTATTTGTGACTTCCATTTGCCCCTTGTTATTAAATGATCTTTTTTTTCCCCCCTAATCACCACACAGCTCCTTCAGGGCAGGAATTAATGAGGGCTTGTACCTTTCAATTTTGCAATAACATTTTTGGTTTGTTTTTTTACTGTTTCAAATGAATATTAACTAAACTAACCAAAGTACTGTTAATTTTAATGTAATGAAATACCCTTCTATTATAGGAAGAAGAAAAAGACTATAAAGGTCCTACTCCAGGAGAATTATTGGAACCACTTTTTAAGCAAAGTAGCTGCTCATACAGGGTATGTTACTTCTGTGTTGATAATTCAAATGCTAATCAAAAGTTTACAATCCAGTCCATTTCAAGGTTTAGCATATTAAACTGTTTGGATAAATATGTCTTAGACTTCAGGTACTAATTCAGTCTAAAATAAGACCTCTACCGCTTTATGAATCTCTTAATATGCTGATAAAAAAAAAGTCTGTATAATTGAAGATGTCAGCATTCAAATAAATGGCGTTCATCTATGAGCAATCTCGAACATGGATTTAAAATACTTCCTTCCAGGAATCAAGCCATATAATGTGTGAAAACCCAATGAAAAGTGTTAGAAAACCAAACCAAACATGCTTCTAAATACTCTGAAAGTTTTCTAGCTTTCCATCAACTGTCATCCCCCTTTAAGACTCATGTCTTACATTAAAGAATAAGCTTAATACCAAGGCAACGTGGTACAGAGACCATGAAAGTGGCTGAATTACACCTATGTGTAATCCCACACAAGTCCTTAACGATGGGAGAGTGCGTCAAGCATAGTTGGTAAACAGCCTGTATCAATGACAGTTGTCAAAACCAGGCTGCGTGGAGTCACTGCAGCTTAGCCCCAGTGGTTTAGGGGAAAACTGAGTCTTTACATCTTATTTAACTATTTTCCTTCATTTTTTATCTGTATGAAAGTCAAGGAAGCTGCCCAGTGTATTTATTTGTAACACCAAAATGCTTGGAGAACACTGAGACCATTCCTTGTGCTATTGTTTTGGAGGGTGCCCAAGGCCATCTGCTTGGGCTGTGTTTCGTTGCTGCAAAAGCCAGAATTTTGGGAGAATCTGGAGTCGGGGAGGATGTATCTAAACAGAAATCTGTTTATTTTAAGATTGAATCTTACTGGACATATGAAGTCTGCCATGGTAAACACATCCGCCAGTACCACGAGGAGAAGGAAACAGGACAGGTAGGCTTCTGCACATTGAGTAATCTCAAATTATGCCCTTTTCCACTGGCATGTTCATGCTTAACTCCTCTTGAAGACTTGAATTCCTGTACACCTGAAAAAGGATGGAAATTGGTAACTGTGATCTCTTTTAACTCCTTTTGATTGTAGAAAATAAACATCCAAGAATACTATCTGGGGAATATGATGATGAAGAGCCCATTATCAGAACCAGGTTTGTCTTGAGTTATTTTATTTTGCTGATGCTTATTAATTGTTGGGGTTTAATTATTACTACCTGAGGAACAGGCTGTGCAAAACTGACTCCCAGTGCAATAGCATAGAATATTGTAGATTACATGTTACAAAATGTATTATTATAGTGAATGCCTTTTAGCACCTCACATTCCGTTCATCCTGTCAGTTTTGCCATGCTAATTGATTAGATTGGAACTGTATGATCCTTAAGGTCCCTTCCAAACCTAATCATTGTATAATTCTATGATAAGATGCATAAATCTGCAATTATTAGTGTCAGGGAAAGAAAATACATAATATAAGAGATGGAATCAGTATGTGACAGACCAGACTTTGGTAATACAGCCTGTTGCCACTCTTTTTGGGTGGGGAGAAGTGTCTTTCAAACTGTAGCAGAGGGCAGAGTACGTAGCACATCTTGGCCTCTGCTTTTCTGTAGTAACACATTGTCTGCAAACCTTGGAACTGTTTGAGAGTGTTTTTTTAGGGATCCTGCTGTAGATCTTTAGAAATACTGAAATGGGAGTTTGGTGGGAATTAGGTAGCTGAGCCCCAAACTCAAACTGTAGTTTAGAGTAACTAATTTTCTGAGCAGTTGTATTTTTTTTGCCTGTAAATAATAGTAGATGTTGGAAGTTCTGTGGTTGTATCTGCCAATATTTGCCTTCTGGGTGAGCACTTTGGTGGTGTATTAGTCCAGAGAACTCTCAAAAATCCAAAGAGTAAGCATTCATTCATCAGTGATGATACGAACAGTAGAAAAAAGCATCATCTAGGTTGGTGGTTTTTAATTCTAGGTATGTAAAAGGTGGCACCACGTTTTTCTGTTCCTGCAAGAGATTAACATGAATGCCTCAAACTTGTAAGGGATTTAGTACCTTTAATCCCATTCCTTCACATTCCTGCCTGCAGCCTTCAGCTGGGGATCTTAGTCCTGAAAAGAAACACAGCTTCAGAAACTGCATTGCTTGGCATTTCTTTACTACTGAGTTGCTTGGTTTTGCTGCTGTTAATCCTGTGCAGAGATGCCTAATTCCCCCTAGATGTACGGAAAACATTGTTTAATTTGAGATCCCAGTTGTTTTGTGGGGCTGGGTGCTGAAGTTAAGTGTGATGATATACTTCAAGTCATCATATCTGAGTCTTTTAGGATGTTGACCCTCTGTGCTTTCTGCTTAGGTGGCAGACTATTCTTTTTATGCTTCCTACATAGCAATTCACACTACTCTTAAAAAATAGATGGTTTCTCAAACCACTGTGAGCTGATATGCAGGAGTGTGAGACAGTAAATTTGGACCAGCTGAATGGGTGATGGCAAAGCAGAGTGGCCTTTTGCTCACCTAACTCTGAATGGAGTCTTGAAGCAGTTTGGAAGGCTGAGGGACCTGGGGTGGTTTAGCCTGGAGAAGAGAATGCTCAGGGGGTATCTTACTGCTCCCTACAACTGCCTGACAGGAGGATGGAGCCAAGAGGGGCTGGGCTCTGCTCCCAAGGAAC